TATAAACCAATCAGATTACTTAAGATTTTCTTTTTGTTAAAGACAAGCCTTAGTTCTTTCAATGTAATTATGTATAAGCTTCTTAGAGTTAATTGGAAACATTACCAATCATTTTTCTTTAAGTAAATAAACAGGTTTAATTTAAACATTTATTTGTTTGTTTTAAAGTCACAGCTTCAGGAGATTAACAAATATAAAAATAAGCATAGGCAATATTTTTATAAGAGAAAAATTGTTCTAAGGAACAAATATGATAAAGAAAAGGCTAATCCAAATGCTCTATTAAAATACAGAAAAGCACACTATAAGCTAAAATATACTTATTGGGATTACTTATTTTCTGAAATATTTACTGTGATAACTTTTTTATAAGTCCTATTCTGCAGATAGTGGGAACTGCTTCAGCTCAACCATTCTGCACTACCAAAGAGTTTTTGAAGACCTTTCTGCAGAAATTAGATGACCTATACTTGGGTGTATTTTAAATGTATCTGGCTGAATATCATCTTTAAAGAAATAAAAACTATTTGTCACTTCAGAGAAGCTGATATCTGCTCTCTACAATCTCAAGATAAGTAAAATAAACATTTCTAATCTGTGTATATACAGGATTCAGATATTGAAATTTGGAAGATTTTTTCCTCTTCGTGTAGAAACATTTAAAGGTCTTTATAATACCTTTGCTTATTTAAAAAAAGAATAGAGAGAAATGCTGAGTATATTTTTGTATTTTCTATATTTTCATATTGTTTTTCATTAATACAGACTTCTTTTAAATAGTCTATAGCAAAACATGGCAATATATTTCCAAGGTATTATTTCTTTATGAAATAATTTTATCAGATAAAATTTTTTTTGTCAGTGACTCTTAGAACAAAAGGTCTATAAGCTGTTTTAAGTAAAAAATATGTGTGCTATCAAGCTTCTCTTGCTGAGCATATTTAGTCCTCCCTTAACGATTATGTTGATAAAGTATACTTGGCATGCATTTGTTTATGAAATAAAGGTCCTTAATGCAGAATGCAAACAAGAGTCACAGATTAATTGCATCGCAAGGAGTCAATAAAGATTTAATATACATCTAACAATCTAATACAACCATGAAACTCTTTCTGAAAAATAATTACAAAAGATTTATAATCTGTAAAAAGCCTATGGTGCAAAAAATGTAGAAATGGAACAGATAGAATGAGAAGAGACAAAAATGAAAATAAGATATTCTCCTGTCCTTGAGAGCTTATTTGCAGGTTCTAGCAGGGGAACGCAGCTACTCATATATCCTGGACTAGGGACAAGGTCATCCTCTTCAACCAAGCACAGGGCTTCAGGAGAGATGAACGTGGAGTGGTGAGGGAGGAAGGGGACACCGCCTAACCAGTCAGATCAGCCCAGTCAACTCTGGCACTCAATGGAGCAACAGCCAGACTGCTCTTACATCCTCCTACTTCCTTAAGGTATCATTTCCAAAAGTTTCCTAACAAATGAGGAAAATAGCATTGTTAGTATTTACTTCTGGGAACTTCATTTGAGTCCAGATAAAAGATTTTCACGCACCTGTTTTACTTTTCCCCACTTCTGTCTACCCAGGTAGAAAGCTAAATTCCAGTCTCACTGTGAACCTCAGGTACTCTGCTTCTTCCATCTGACATGCATTTACATCAGACAGCCTCCTCTCCTTTCAGATTATTAATTCTAGTTCTATTTTATTTAGGGGTTGAAGGCACTAGGAGAAACACCTAAGTCCACTGCCGCAGCATTCCAAATGGAATGAAAAGACAGTCATCAGGCTTTGCACAGGGCAGGAAAAAAAAAAAAAAGAAACCTCTATTAAGAGCAAAAATGGAAAAGATCTTTTTGACAACTTTAGATGTACAGAAAGGCTGTTCAAGAGGTACTACCCCCTGAAGAGAAGCAAAGCAGAGCTCTTTGAATGAAAGCAGTTTTAACAAGTCAGGGGAAAGAGCATACTTATAAAAGAGATGGGTGTGACAGCAAAGCTGCTTGTTGAAGTGGTGGGGTGGGTCAGGGAAATATCAGCAAGAGTGACAGCCCTGACTGCCACTTCTCTTTTCAGTTCTCGTCTCTCCTTGTGTGGCCATCTACATGTGTCATCTTGTCACCCTTTCTCTCTCTTTCTCTCTCACACACATGCTACATAGAGTACCACGAAAACACCACTTTCTCAGAATGTGCTTGTCCTGGCTATCAAGTTATTATAAAAACAGAGAAAACTGGGGGAGGGGGACTTCCTAGGATTCTTATTTCCATAAACTACTGATGTTCACTGTTTAGTTCTGCTCTCCTCTGTTAGCTAAATAGAAAAGAAATTCTCAAATGGAGTAAAACTAAGGGCCTCATTGCCCTTTCCCCTCCATTGCAAACTCCATCTTATATAATAACATTTACTGTTGAGAGAGAAAACAGGGAGGGAACATATCTGTGCAAATGCAAAACCACCCATCTCAGTTTCTGGAATGTGGTAGGTATTCCCTCTCCCAGTGAAGTTCCCTATTGACCCAGCTGTGGAAAAATGCAGAAGGAAACTGTCATTTCAAGGTTCTATCTCATCTGAGGAGTCTCCTCATATCTATTTCTCTGCATTACATTACATCACTTTAATATATTTTAATTATATTGATTTCTGTTACATTTGTTGGATAACTTTAAGTAGTTAGGGCAGAAGATATAAATGTTAATAGAAAAACATTTCAAAATTACAGAAGAAACAGAAAAACTACGCCAGGCACAGTGGCTAATGCCTGTAATCCCAGCACTTTAGGAGGCTGAGTTAGGTGAATCACTTGAGGTCAGGAGCTCAAGACAAGCCTGGCCAACATGGTAAAACCCCGTCCCTACTAAAAATATAAAATTAGCCGGGTGTGGTGGGGCATGCCTATAATCTCAGCTATTCAGGAGGCTGAGGCAGGAGAATTGCTTGAATCTGGGAGATGGAGGTTGCAGTGAACTGAGATTATGCCACGGCACTCCAGCCTGCTGACAGAGAGAGATCCTGTCTCAAAAAAAACAAAAAAACAAAGAAACCCAGAAAAAAAAAACAGAAAAACTATATGAATCACAAACTATATTACAATACCAGTTAAATATAAAAATGTACTCAGGGTCAAGAAGAATTAAAAGAGTCTATACTTTCTGAGGAAAATAAAAACAAAGCAACCAACCAAGCACAATGTAATCATGAGAAGATACAAAATCTAACAGTTCAGGTGGAATGCACGTGTGGCCACATCTAGTACATAGTTCTTTTATTTTGAAGTGAAGAACTTATTAAATGTAATCAAAGAAAAGACTTAATGAAGTCATTTATTCTATTGAACAGCATTTGGAAAGAACCAAATAAGAACAATAATAACTAGCATTTATTTAGTACTGCTTTGTGACAGAGACCATACTGTGTATTTTCTTGATCCTTAAAACAACTTCGCAAAGAAGATATTACTACTCTCATTTCACAAATAAGTAAACTGAAACTCAGAGAAGTTTAGGAACACACATTTAATAGACAGCATAGAAGGATTCAAACCAAGCACTACTTTGAAAGCCTCTGCATCTTTGATTAAACCGGTAACTTTCCATTAGTCTAGATAAAGATTACGAAATTAAATGTTTAGAAAGGCTATGCAGGCAGTAACAATGGAAGCAGCAGGCTGGTTGTAACTGCAATTGGCAACAAAACTCAGCACTGGCAAAAGGCCTGTGGCCAACTGGAAAACACTTGCACCCCTTTACAAAGGGTGCATGATACTCAGCTCCAGATGACTGTTACCAGGCTGCAATGTATTGCATTACCAGAACCTGGTATTAGAGGAGTTTTCCATTTGGAAATATCACAAATTCATATTTCTATGAAAATATTCTGTTTTTAATATATTGGTATAAATATAGCTTGCCAATCAAACCATATCAGCTTCCTAAATACCATGTGTCCTAGATATGTTCTTAAAACACCAGAGTCAGCCTGCTGGCTATGGAGGCACAATCTACTCAGCACGATGGGTGGGCAATGAATGGTCTATGAATGGCTGGAGAGAAATATTAAATTCCCTTCAATTAGTATGAGGCTCAGAGTCAGGCAGTAGAAACAACTCAGTGACACCAACGTGGCTCCCAAAATTAGGCCATAGATGGCTCACTCTGAATCCTGCTTGTGCATTTCACAGACTCTTGCCTGCATTCCTTCAGGGTCCATAGACTTCATTACATCACTTACAGGACCCAATTAAGAGCCATCTCCTGAATGCCATTTTTATCAAACTTACCGAGATGTGCCCTGTGCACTCTACCTTTTCATATTATCAGCTGACATTTCCATCCAAGTACTGGAAATGTCTCTTATGTTGTTCTGACACATCAAAGCAGATACAGCAGCCTTTCATTTCTAAACCTCTGGTCTCCGAGAACCTTTGAAAATGAACTCAACACTAGGCCGAGCACTCTCTGCTCCTCAACAAAAGAGACGCTTCCAATTCTCCTGAGACTCTATCTGAGTGGGCTTAGAAACTCACTCAGATTCCCATCATAACAAAGAAGGTCTGTCAAGCTTCCCAATTCTAGACCCAAACCTATTAAGATAACAGAGAATTGCGCTGACCTTGGGGATAAACATCACTTAAAGAACAATGTGGCTTGTTTATAATATAAAATTCCTTTTTCTAAAGGCTTATCCAAACTGTTCATGCTAGACATGGTATTTCCTGGTTCTTTGTAAGACTACAGAAAAATGAAAATACACACTATCATTAAATGATTTCTTCCAATTTTCCTAGACTCTTAGCGAGCTCTTACCAGGAATGTACATCCTTAACTTTGTTTATATAGCACAATGGAAACCACAAGGAACCAGACAATCTAGGCAAGCTTATTTGAGTAATTTGAAAAGTTCTCATAAAGAAAATGTTTTATGTATCATACATTGCCAAGATACTAAGCCACTCTCATAACATGTAAGATGGGGTACTAAATTTCAGCATATTTATCCTTACCTGCAAGTCTTTTCTTCACATTCAGATCCATTATTTTTTTTTACAAGAAATCAGCCTTGCATACCTCTTGCTGAAAAACAAAATAAAATACTTACCATTCATTTTTTTTTGAAGCTAGGAATTTTTTAAATTCCTGTTTGAAGTTCTTATTCATTCTGACTAATTCCATTTTATGCCTATGCCTAATTTTAATAGCTGGATTTATTATTGTATATTTGGATCTATCATAATATTGTCAGAGAATATTTCTTTTTAGAAATATACTGAAGGCCAGGTGTGGTAGTTCACGCCTAATCCCAGCACTTTGGGAGGCTGAGGCAGGCAGATCACTTGAGGTCAGGAATTCAAGACCAGCCTGGCCAACATGGTGAAACCTCATCTTTACTAAAATACAAAAATTAGCTGGGTGTAGTGGCATGCACCTGTAATCGAGCTACTCGGGAGGCTGAGGCAGAAGAATCACTTGAACCGAAGAGGCAGAGGTTGCAGTGGGCCAAGATCATGCCACTATACTCCAGCCAGCCTAAGGAACAGAGCCAAATCCCCTCTCAAAAAAAAAAATAAATAAATAAAAGGGAAAAATACTAAGAATTTTCATGATACCATGTGTATGTTCTTTACAAAAGTGGTCTCCAGAACTTTAAGTTCATGTCTAAAAAACACAAATGTTTAGTGTCCATTGAATCATCAGCAGAACTTAGAGAATGTCTTGTTATTTTGATTGTCCACCCTCTTCTCATGCTTTATTTTATGTAGGAACTTTGTCTTTGTAGCAATTTATTACTGACAATTTCCTAACACTTAAATCTGAAAGGGATAATATGGTAACACCCTGTACTAGGTGATCATTCATTGCAGCTTTTACCAGGACAGTCTTGGTTTTCACCTGCTGTCATGGAATAATTGCCAACAGTGCCCCTTTCACACCTGCAAGTTTTCCAGTTTGAATGATTCATTAAATAGTTACTATACTATATGCTATGACCCTCTTCTTCACAGCTCTCTGTAACTTATGGGTTAATGGGAGCAACTTAAATTTGTTGATATTATGCTCAGTATAATAGAAGTCAGAAAAATTACTTGTAAATGCTTGCTTTAAATAATACACATCTGTCTCTCCATGATAAGAAATACATAAGATAAATAGTTATTTGAGTTTAATTTCCAAGATTATGGGTTTTTTTCTCTGTAAATAAGTTAGGAATAATTCTCAAGTTGACAAATGAGACTACAAAAACATACACACTTACTTTTTGCTTTGACTGCCAGCAAATAAAGTCTAACTTCTTGCAAATGTAATGCAACCTTATGAAGCAAAGAAATGTTTAGAAGCTGAGAACATCTATTATCCTCTCTGCCTCTTTCGGATACATTCTGTGCTCTTTGATCCATAAGTACTTTACCTGTTACTATCATCCATCTACATGTTCTTTTGGAAGTCGGTCAATATAAATTTTGTATTGTGTAACGTCCCCCAAATAACTAAAATTCTCATTAGCCTTGTCAGTTCTAATTGAGATAAATTAAAAGAGGTACTATAGGTACAATTTAGTGTTCCAAACATGATGAATTTCCATAACATCATTAAGAGGATGACACCAACTCTTAAGCTGAAATCATGTGTATTTGAATCATCCTAAACCCCTATTATACATTTTTCTCTTTCCTGTCTACATAAGAATCTGGGGAAACAAGGAACGTTAATATACAAGAAGGCCTTGGACTGAGACTTCAAGTAGGACAATGTGAACTGATTCAAATAATGAAGGAAACACATTGAACATCCTTGCTCACAGCAGTCAACCAACTGTAAGCAGAGTCTAGAGTTTGCTCTAAGTCAGGAGGGAAAGCAAAGAAAAGGGAAATCCAGAATCTCAGGTGGAAAATACAAAAACAACTTAAGATTGAATTCTGAAAATAATTCTACAGACATGTACAAGGAGAGCTTCCAATTAAACCTGAAAGAAATAATATTAGCAAATCCAGAACCCCACCTGAAACACAATCTTTCCTCTGAAAAAAATAAAACTACTATGTCAATAATGGCTACCCTTTGGGGTGCTTGCTATTTGTCAGACATAGTTGCCAGCAATTTCCATGGATTAAATCATTTACTCTTGTTTCATTAAATCTAAGCTACTACTTAAGGTAGTGTGACAAATTCCATCGTGGAAGGGTGTATGTGAGCATGTTCTCAGCAAGTCCAGGCTACTAAAAAACATTAGGCAAGTTAACTATTCTTCATAGTTGATCGAATATTTGACAGGTAAGTTGAATCAAGTAGATACTTAATTTACTTTCAATCCTGATCCTTTCATTTAAAAAGTCTTTAGAAACTATTCAACAAGACACAGTGGGCCACATTTTCAGCACTTTGCTGAGCTTTGGGGACTTGCCAATAATGAAACAAGAGTTCAAAATCTAAATAATAAAATGTAATAGTGCCTTGTTATACATTTTATCTAAATGAAACTGCGGAACATTTATGGGTAGACAGTGACCAAGAGTCATCTTCAAGTGGCAAATAAGGAGGAGCCAGAATGTGTAGAAAATACAGAAGAGTCAGGACAGACATCCCTTATTCATTTATCCCAGGTCACTCTTTCATTTTGAAGACAGAGTCTCACTCTGTCTCCCAGGCTGGAATGCAGTGGTGTGATCTTGACTCACTGTAACCTCTACCTCCTGAGTTCAAGCAATTTGTCTACCTCAGCCTCCTGAGTAGCTGGGATCACAGACGTACATCATCATGCCTGGCTAATTTTTTGTGTGTATATATGTAACTAGAGACAGAGTTTCACCATGTTGGCCACACTGATGAACTCCCGACCTCAAGTGATCTACTCGCCTCAGCCTCCCAAAGTGTTGAGATTACAGGTGTGAGTGACCATGCCCAGCCTCAGGTCACTCTTTGATCCTACTCATCAGCAAGTGATATAATTTAACCATTTCCAGGTAAAAAATCAGAAATTATATTACAACATCAGTGTTGTTTCCTTCTACCTTCTCAACTAAAAACATGCCAATAATCCATTAATTTAGATTTTAGAAATATTAAATTATGTTAATAAAGGCATTATTAACAAATGTAATAAGAATATTAACCAATATATATTAACTAATATTCCACATTAGTTAATAATGGAATAAGAATAATATTGTCTTATTCATTTGAATATTCATCGTGTATTCATTTGAAAGGTAAAAACCAACTAACTTTGGACATATCCTCGGGTTGTATCTATCACAAATACCTGTTTAGTTGGCCTTAAATAAAGGTACAGTAACTCTAACAGTATGATACCAATGTTAGATTTTTTTACTTTTATATAATGATAACATCCATTTAACTTGGTATACTTATTAATAATTTTATAGCTTTATGGGTTTTAGTGATTTAGTTATTGTACTCTTCAAACCATACAGTTCATAAACCAAAATACATCATGGTAATAGGCAGATCAGTATTCAGAGTCATGAAAAATGATCTTGGCATTATGTTTATTTTCTAAAATTTCAACAACACAGTGGTTTCTCTACCTAAAAGTGAGGATTGCTCTTGCTGCCTAGAGCAAGCACAAATAATTTTACCCAATAAGATACACAATCACCCCATATTATATTTATTAAGTATTTTTATGAGTATACATGAACAAAATGAATCCATAACCAGTATTTCTTGGCCCTTTTAGTATCATATATATTTATATCTACAAGAAGTACTTAAGTATTTACCAAGGCAATTTTATAGAGAAAATTACTCATATTCATGAAGATAGGAAATAAATTCAGGGACAATTCACCTAACAGATAAGTGGAAATCAGAGATCAAAGTCATGGTACTGTACTGAAGCTTGAAGACCACCCTGATTCTCCAAGAAAAACTTCTAACCTAGAAAATCTGTTTGTATGTCTAATATCCCTGAGGGTTTGAGGCCATATCAATATATCTGTCCTTCCATGTGAATTCACCGTGAGTTTTAGAAGTGATGCTGAGAACAAGTTGGGTGATAAGGTAGAGGCAGCATAGGAGAGCAGAAAAGAGTCCTCACTGGCTTAGCACATAAGACCTTTTCCTGACTATCCTCCAACTTGCTAAAGGCCCTTGGGTAAATTGTTCGGCCTTCCTCTCTTCAACTGTGAAAGGAAGAGCTTGAACTAGATAATCTAAAACAGCTCTATGTCTTTTTTGTTTTTTGGTTTTTTTTTTTTTTTACAAAGAATACTTAAATTTGCCCCCAAAAATGCTTATATTTTTATATTGTTATTTCAGAGTCAGAAAAATTATTCTAGAACAGACAGGAAAGAATTTTATCCACTATATTTTAACCAAAAGGCAGCTATAGTGTGGCTGCACTGAGCTGGGTCAGAAATTAGAAACTTTACTTTTGATATAGTTGCTATGTGAATTCAGGCAATTCATTTTCCCTCTTTGAAATTCAGCTTCTTTGTTAGTAACAAGAGTCTTGAAAAGATTAAGTGAAATAATATATGTAAAAGCATTTTGTCAAGTACAAAATGCTATGCGATCGCAGGGTGATTTGTTATGTACATGAAAAGATATCACATGCAGACCATTTCAAGTCTAACCACATACCCAAATACCTCTCTGCCTCTCTCATTCACATACAAAATACGACAGTGACAGCAGCACGGAGTTTCTGATTAAGAAAGGAAATATTCCTGCTTTTAGTATGGGATATTTGCTTTCATCAACTTTGACACCTTAATCTTCTTTTATTATTTTAAGGATTTTAATATTTTACCAGTACTTGCTTTTGTCTGATGAATTTGTTTGCAAATGGCTAAGCACTTTAATTGACAATTCTTTTGAAACAGCCAATGCGTTGTATACCTATTATTTCTTGGCTTTTATGCCGAGTAATTTGACAGCCATTAACATTTTTTGCTTTATCTTATGAAAGAGTTTCACCTGTATTGCTGTCATTAACTTACAGAATAATCCAGCAGTTCTAGAAGCTCCAAAAGAGAAGCACCATATTAAATGATAAGCAAACCCACTAAGAAAATGAATTTGTATTTGCGACTTTAGAGCCCCATAACCTGCATATTAGCTTCAATGAGTAAAGCTTCAGATACCACAGGTAATTGACATAAACACCAAGCTGGGAAGCTGTTACTGCCTCAGAAACTTCAGCATGGTAACACAGATGGACTATGATCTAAAGAAGTCCACACATCTTTCTCTCTCTTTCTCTCTCTCTCTCTCTCTCTCTCTCTCTCTCTCTCTCTCTCTTTTTTCTGAGACAAAGTTCTGTTCTTGTTGCTCAGGCTGGAGTGCAATGGTGCAATCTCGGCTCACTGCAACCTCTGCTTCCCGGGTTCAAGCAATTCTCCTCCCTCAGCCTCCCTAGTAGTTGGGATTATAGGTGCCTGCCACCACACCTGGCTAATTTTTTATATTTTTAGTAGAGATGGGGTTTCACTATGTTGGCCAGGCTAGTCTTGAACTCCTGACCTCAGGTGATCCGCCCACCTTGTCCTTCCAAAGTGCTGGATTATAGGCATGAGCCACCGCATCCAGCCTCTTTTTTAAAATAAACAAGTAGAAAAATCTGTCCTTCCCTTAGGTCCAAAAATTCTACTCTTGCTACTCTCAGGAGTCTGTTTACTACCTGTTCCAACAGGAAAGCTGCAGTTACATTAACTTCCCCTTTTTATTTTTAGGAAGTTTCAAACTGTAGAGACTGCCCTAACCAGATATGAGTGAGGCTCATTTAACAGCTGCCTTTTAGTTCTGGAAGTGAGGAACCACATCATTCAGAAGCATTCTCACATACATTCATACATCAGTTAACCAATTGCTGAGATTAGGTTTGCCAGGTTTCTCTTAGAGTTAATATTTGCTGTAGTTGTCTTACAGTTACCTTGGGTGAATCCTTCCTTTTGGGATCCAGTACTTGTAATCCTCAGTGGTTTAAGACAGAGGGTTAAGAATGTGTTCATACCAATAAAGGACTCTGGATAAAAGATTGCTCATCTCCTGTTTATTCCTACCCAAAGTGAATCCTGCTTTGGTATTCTGTAACATAAGTATAGTAGTCTCCCCTTATCTTGGCGGAAATACATTCCAATACCCCTAGTGGATGCCTAAAACCACATACCAAACCATGTACATACCACATTTTTCCTATACATACCTATGATGACGTTTAATTTATAAATTAGGCACAGTAAGGGATTAACAACAATCACTAATAATGAAATAGAAGAATAACAATATGCCAGCAACTCTACTCTTGCACTTTGGGGCCATTATTAAGTTAAATAAATTGACCTGAATACAAGCCATGACAGTTAATCTGATAACAGAGCTACTAAGTGACTAATGGGCCAGTTGCATAGACAGTGGGGATACGCTGGACAAAGGGGTGGTTCAGGTACTGGGTGGGATGTGACCAGACACTGCGAGATTTCATCATGCTACTCAGGATTACATGAAATTTAAAACTTATGAATTGTCTACTTCTGGAAATTTTTATTTCATATTTTCAGACCACAGTCGGCCACCAGTAACTGAAATTACAGAAAGCAAAACTGAGAAAAGGGGTAGATGACCAAAACATATATGTGAGTTGCTATGTTACACAGGTTAGTTCAGATCAAATGTCATTGTAGGTTTTTATTCATCTTTTTCTTTCCTCTTAACTCTGAGAACTTAAAATGGCTTTCTTCTAAGTCACAATCCAAAAAGCTTAGATTTAGGGGGCTTTTTCTGTGCAGTATAAAATATACTATGAACCAATAATTTTGTATGAATACATATTATATGTTTATTTTTGTATTTTCTGACACCCCTACTGGAATATAGGTTCCAAAATGGTAGAGAATGTCTTTTGTTCACTGGTGTATTCCCTGTCTAATCAGTATTTGACACAAAGAAAATACTCAGTACTATTTGTTTAATAAACAACTGAATGAATGAATCCTAAACAAGGCATGTTGAGCCTCATTTACTGCCAAAGGAATGGTGAATTTATTTTTTGTTCTATTAGATAATTTGTAATAGGGGAAGCAACACAAAGATGAACCACATTTTTAGAAAGTTAATAACCTACCCTCCAAATATTGCATTCTCCCCAAGGAATCCAATAGTAATATACTTTTCTACTACCTTCTCCATGTTCACAAAAATAGAGATTGATTTCCTTCCATCCTTCCTTCCTTCCTTCCATCCTTCCTTCCTTCCTGCTCTTTCTAACATCTACTCTGAAGTTCCTTTTTTTCCTTTTCCAACATGAATTTCCCTTCATTTCAAAATAAATGCATAGAACACTGGTCTTCTTAAGGACTAAGTAGAGAAATAGCTGAATAAATATAACCATTCTTTTAAAATATTCATATTTATTTATTTATTTGTTTGTTTATTATGTTTATTTTATTTTATCTTATATATATATTGCATTTTAGGTTCTGGGGTACATGTAAAGAACATGTAAGATTGTTGCATAGGTACATATATGACAATGTGGTTTGTTGCCTCCATCCTCATCACCTATATCTGGCATTTCTCCCCATGTTATCCCTCCCCAACTCCCTACCATCCACTGTCCCTCCCTTAGTCCCCCCTCAACAGACTTCAATGTGTGATGCTCCCCTCCCTGTGTCCTCATTGATCAGCACCTACCTGTGAGTGAGAACATGTGGTGTTTGATTTTCTGTTCTTCTGTCAGTTTTCTGAGAATGATGGTTTCCAGATTCATCCATGTCCCTACAAAGGACAGAAACTCATCATTTTTTATAGCTGCATAGTATTCCATGGTGTATATGTGCTACATTTTCCCTGTCCAGTCTATCATCGATGGGCATTTGGGTTGGTTACAAGTCTTTGCTATGGTAAACAGTGCTGCAATGAATATACATATTGCATGTGTCCTTATAATAGAATGATTTATAACCTCTGGATATATATCCAGTAATGGAATTGCTGGGTCAAATGGAATTTCTATTTCTAGGTCCTTGAGGAATCGCCACAGTGTCTTCCACAATGATTGAACTAATTTACACTCCCAAGAAAAGTGTAAAAGTGTTCCCATTTCTCCACATCCTCTCCAGCATCTGTTGTCTCCATATATTTTAATGATCACCATTCTAACTGGCGTGAGATAGTATCTCAATGTGGTTTTGATTTGCATTTCTCTAATGACCAGTAATGATGGGCTTTTTTCATATGTTTGTTGGCCTCATATGTGTCTTCTTTTCTAAAGTGTCTGATCATATCCTTCCCACACTTTTGAATGGGTTTGTTTGCTTTTTTCTTGTAAATCTGTTTTAGTTCTTTGTAGATTCTGGATATTAGCCCTTTGTCAGAAGGGTAGATTGCAAAAATTTTTTCCCATTCTGTTGGTTGCTGATTCACTCTAATGGCTGTTTATTTTGCTTTGCAGAAGCTTTGGAGTTTCATTAGGTCTAATTTGTCTATTTTGGCTTTTGTTGCCAATGCTTTTGGTGTTTTAGTCATGAAGTCCTTGCCTATGCCTATGTCCTGAATGGTTTTGCCTAGGTTTTCTTCTAAGATTTTTATATCGTTAGGTCTTATGTTTAAGTCTTTAATCCATCTGGAGTTAATTTTAGTGTAAGGTGTCAGGAAGGGGTCCAGTTTCTGCTTTCTACACATGTCTAGCCAGTTTTCCCAACACCATTTATTAAACAGAGAATCCTTTCCCCATTGCTTGTTTTCTCATGTTTGTCAACGATCTAATGTTTGTAGATGTGTGGCATTGCCTCTGAGGTCTCTGTTTTGTTCCATTGGTCTATATCTCTGTTTTGGTACCAGTACCATGCTGTTTTGATTGCTGTAGTCTTGTATTATAGTTTGAAGTCAGGTAGCATGATGCCTCCAGCTTTGTTCTTTTTTGCTTAGAACTGACTTGGCTATTGGGCTTTCTTCTGGTTCCATATGAAGTTTAAAGTGACTTTGGCCAGTTCTGTGAAGAAGGTCATTGGTAGCTTGATGGGGATAGCATTGAATCTATATGTCCATGTTCACAATATTGCTTCTTCCTTACCATGAGCATGGAATGTTTCTCCATCTGTTTGTGTCTTCTCTTATTTCGCTGATCAGTGCTTTGTAGCTCTCTTTGAAGAGGTCCTTTACATCCTTTGTTAGTTGTATTCCTAGGTATTTTATTCCCTTTGTAGCAATTGTTAATGGCAGTTTGTTCTTGATTTGGCTCTCTTTAAGTCTGTTATTGGTGTATAAAAATGCCTGTGACTTTTGCACATTGATTTTCTATAGTGAGACTTTGCTGAAGTTGCTTATCAGTTTATGGAGATTTGGTACTGAGACGATAGGGTCTTCTAAATATACAATCACATGGTCTGCAAATAGAGACAATTTGACTTCCTCCTTTCCTAATTGAATATCCTTTATTTCTTTTTCTTGCCTGATTTCTCTGGCTAGAACGTTCAATACTATATTGAATAAGAGTGGTGAGAGAGGGCATCCTTGTCTAGTGCTAGATTTCAAAGGGAAATGCTTCCAGTTTTTGCTCATTCAGTATGATACTGTCTGTGGGTTTTCATAAATAGCTTTTATTATTTTGAGATATGTTCCATCAATACCTAGTTTATTGAGAGTTTTTAGCATAAAGGGCTGTTGAATATTGTTGAAAGCCTTCTCTGCATCTGTTGACATAATCACGTGATTTTGTATTTGGTTCTGTTTATGTGATGAATTACATTTACAGATTTGCATATGTTGAACCAGCCTTGCATCCCTGCGATGAAACCTATTTGATTGTGATGGATAAGCTTTTTGATATGCTGTTGCAGTTGGTTTGCCAGTATTTTATTGAAGATTTTTTCATCCTTGTTCATCATGGATATCGGCTTGAAGTTTTCTTTTCTTGTGAATCTCTGCCAGGTTTTGGTATCAGGATGATGTTAGTCTCATAAAATGATTTGGGAAGATTCCCTCTTTTTGGATTGCTTGGAATAGTTTCAGAAGGAGTGGTACCAGCTCTTCTTTGTATGTCTTGTATAATTAGGCTGTGAACCCATCTGGACCTGGGATTTTTTTGGTCGATAAGCTGTTAATTGCTGCCTCAACTTCAGCCCTTGTTATTAGTCTATTCGGGGTTTCGACTTCTTCCTAGTTTAGGCTTGGGAGGGTGTAAGTGTCCAGGAATTATCCATTTCTTCCAGCTTTACTGGTTTATGTGCTTAGAGTTGTTTGTAGTAATGTCTGATGGTGGTTTGTATTTTGTGGAATCTGTAGTGATACCCCCTTTATCGTTTTTTATTGTATCTATTTGATTCTTCTCTCTTTTCTTTTTTATTAATCTGTCTAGTGGTCTATTTTGTTGATCTTTTCAAAAATCCAGCTCTGGATTTATTGATTTTTTTAAGGGTCTTTTGTGTGTTTGTGTCTCCATCTCCTTCAGTTCTGCTATGATCTTAGTTATTTGTTGTCTTCTGCTAGCTTCTGAGCTTTTTGATCTTGCTCTTTTAGTTCTTTCAATTTTAATGATAGGGTGTCAATTTTAGATCTTTCCTTGCTTCTCATCTGGGCATTTATTGCTATAAATTTTCCTCTAAACACTGCTTTAAATGTGTCCCAGAGATTCTGGTACGTTGTATCTTCATTCTCGTTGGTTTTGAGAACATCTTTATTTCTGCCTTCATTTCATTGTTTATCCAGTCAACATTCAAGAGCCAGTTGTTCAGTTTCCATGAAGTTGTGTGGTTCTGAGTTAGTTTCTGAATTCTGAGTTCTAAGTTGATTGCTCTGTGGTCTGAGAGACTGTTATGATTTCTGTTCTTTTGCATTTGCTGAGGAATGATTTACTTCCAATTATGTGGTCAATTTTAGAGTAGATGTAATGTGGTGCTGAGAAAAACGTATATTCTGTGGATCTGGAGTGGAAAGTTCTGTAAATGTCTATTAGGTTTGCTTGGTCCAGGTCTGAGTTCAAGTCCTGGATATCCCTGTTAATTTTCTGTCTCATTGATCTGTCTAATATTGACAGTGAAGTGTTAAAGACTCCCACTATTATTGTGTGGGAGTCTAAGTCTCTTTGTAGGTGATTAAGAACTTGCTTTATGTATTTGGGTGCTCCTGTGTTTGGCACATATATATTTAGGATCGTTAGCTCTTTTTGTTGCATTGATCCTTTTATCATTATGTAATGTCCTTCTTTGTCTCTTTTGATCTTTGTTGGTTTAAAGTCTATTTTTTTTTTTTCGGAGACTAGGATTACATCTCCTGCTTTTTTTTTTTTTTTTTTTTTTTTTTTTTTTTTTTTTTTTTTTTGCTCTCCCGTTGCTTGGTAGATCTTCCTCCATCCATTTATTTTGAGCCTATGTGTATCCTTGCATGTGAGATGGGTTTCCTGGATACAACACACGGAAGGGTCTTCATTTTTTATCCCAATTTGCCAATCTGTGTCTTTTGATTGGGGCATTTAGCCCATTTACATTTAAGGTAAATATTTTTATGTATGAATTTGATCCTGCCATCACTGGTGGTGATGAAATTTCTGAGCAATTGCTTGTTCATAAAGTATTTTATTTCTCCTTTGTTTATGAAACTTAGTTTGGCTGGATATAAATTCTAGGTTGAAAGTTCTTTTCTTTAAGGATGTTGAATATTGGCCTCCACTTTTGTGGAGGTTTCTGCAGAGAGATCCGCTGTGAGTCTGATGGGCTTCCCTTTGTGGGTAACCCAACCTTTCTTTCTGGCTGCCCTTAGCATTTTTTCCTTCATTTCAACCCTGGTAAATCTGACGATTATGTGCCTTGGGGTTGCTCTTCTAGAGGAATGTTTTTGTGGTGTTCTCTGTATTTCCTAACCATTCTTTTGGTAAACATTCAGGTTGTGTATCAACTGATGTCACTATAAACAATGCTTATATTAATATCCTTGTAAATAAATACTTATAGAGAACTGGATTTATGGCTGATAAATATATTATCAACCCAGGATGTCTGAGTCAAAACTAATCAAACTCATTGTCTATTATATGAGCTGCAAGTATTTTTATGAGGTTTATTATTTTTACCTCTTATTTTGTTTATGCTATTGTTGAAGATAATTCTCTATGAGTCTTGGCTTTTATATGTCTACTGAGTGGAGGCACTGCCTCCCTTTGCTCTGCACTATCTTTACAAGGATGTTTGTATAGAGAGCAGCCATGGAAAGTAGAGATCGTACCTCCCTCTAAATAATTATAATAATCAGGCATGCTTATTGTCCATCATAAAAATTTCAGAGTTCCTAAGCTCAGGACATCTCTTCTGTAACCCACTGTGTTTGCAGGTATTACCTGACACTCTCCATTTCACCATGTGGGGATTGGGGCTCAAAAAACAGGCACAAGAACATGCTGATCCATGAAATTGTGGAAGACCTTTTAGTCTGAAAAATGAATAAAACCTCCACACTTCATGGTTCTAGACAGCTGTGCATGCTTTATAAGATTAATAATCCAATGTACATCTTGAAGTCTTCAGGGATCGTTATAATTTTGGTGGTCCTTCACACTCCATACATACACACACACACACACACACACACACACACACACACATATATTCTGGTAAATTTTATTCTATATTTTTATTTTTTACACTTAATTATTCAACATAGATTAGATTTTTGCCTATTGGGAAAGACAAGGTTCTTAGATTTTTCCCTTCCACATGACAGCAATCTTTATTAAATAAATTGCCCTCTACCCAGTGAATTAAAAGTTTATCCCTACCATGTAC